TATATAGATGGTCATTATCATTGTTATATCATAATCATGTTGGATCTATTTCAGAGATTCAAAGGTGGTCTTACATTAGAAACTGTCTCTATATAATTCACAGCGTTAATAGATTCAAGGAGAAAAAATGTTATTACCTCGATAAACGTCAAAAAGCTTTTTATAGAGCTTGGCATCTCCTTATGATAAATTGTCTTAGTAATTTAGAAATAGGAAGGTAAATCCTGAAGCTAACCTAAACTAATAGTAAAGAATATTCTTAATAACAAAACATTAAGTAAATTTCCATTAAAATCAGGAATCAGACAATAACAATTACTTCTATTCAACTATTCACAGACTTTTGATTCACTACACAGAATAATCTAAAGAATCTAAGGCAATTACTCATGTTATTAGTAGAGTTTAATAGGTAGCTGGATATAAGCAAAAAACAAAAAATCAAATGGATTACTATACACCTGCAACAAAACAGTTGGAGACTATAACCTTTGAAAAGTATACTGATAACTACAACAAAAATATAGGTACTTAGGGCTAAACTAAAAATGTGTAAAACTTTTTTTGAAGAAACTTTTGAAACTTAGCTGAAAGATTGAAATAGACAAACAAATTGAGATATGTCATGTTGGTTTCAAATGAAAATCAATATCTTAAAATTTTCCATTGTCAATCCAATCAAATTTGATTTATAGAATCTAATAGAATCAATGCATTTCTAATCAAATTACAAGAATTTTTTTGAAAAACTTGATAAACTAATTCTAAAATTCATATTAAAAACAAATGTCCAGACCAGTGCAGGGAGGGGAGCAGCAAGTTAATGAGAGAGGCTGGGAGCTAAGAAGCTGGGGCTGAATTAGAGTGATGGTCAGTAGGGCTTCACATTGGTTCTGGATCCACCTACTGATCCCATCATCCTCCAGGCTCTGCTGCTCAGTCTGCTCTATATTCTTCTCATTTGTGGTGATTTGCTTTTCAGGGCTCCATTATTTCCTCCACCAGTTCAGGACAATAGGGACTCAGTTCACTGGATAGATCTCTATATACCTGAAATCTATACCTACCATAGGGTTTTTGGGCCCTGTGACAACTACTGAATCTGTTTTAGTGGCCCTCACCATTCTATGACTCTGGGGAGATCTGAATCATTATGTGATAGTACACAGAGGATTTTAAGGATTGATGTGATCCAATTCCACAAATCAACCTAATAGTGTCCCATCTCTGACCTGGCTTCAAATAATACACATATGATTTCATTAAAAGAAAATGAGGGGGAGGGGCAGGAAGAAGACACTAGAAAAATATTAATTTTGATCATATAAGGAGATGAGGTTGTGGATGACTTTTACTATCATTTTACACTTTTTAAAAAACTTCTGAAATTTGAAAACTATTCATTTATTAATTTTATATTGAAAAAACAAAACAAAAAACAAGCCATGAAAGAAATAATTAGAAAACAACAACAATCACCCAAACATTGCCCCGCTGACATGGCTCAGTGGTTGAGTATCAACCTATGAACCAGGAGGTCACGACTTATTCCCAGTCAGGGTATATGCCCAGGTTGTGGGTTTGATACCCAAGGTGGAGTATGTAGGAGGCAGCCAATCAATGATTCTCTTTCATTATTGATGTTTCTATCTCTCTTCCTCTCCTTTCCTCTCTGAAATCAATAAAAATATATTAAAAAACCCCACCCCAACATTAATAACCTATTATGTCCCTAGAAGTTTGCCCAGCATTTTTTGGTGGTTATTACTGTTAGAAACATAAAATAATACCTTCTGTTTAGAAATTTTCATTATAACAGGAGCATCCATTAATAGATATTTCAACTTTGAATCTCATTTGGGATATTTATATTGATTTTTAAGCAAGTAAATTTTTGTTCTTATTAGGCTTTCACATTCTAAGGTTTTTAAAAGTTACTTATTGTCATTTTTCTCTCCACATCGGTCTCATTACTATGTCACACAAATGAATCACCTAATAGTAATCTCCTGGGTGTCAACATCTAGCTGTAGAATAGAATTTAATCCTCTTTCTTTCATATTACATTATTTCCAGAGGCCTCTTATCATAGAAAATTCTCTTATTTTTTCATTAAAGGTTGTATTGTCAGAGAAATAATAGTCCCACACATATGACTAATAAAAGCCAGACATTTGATTAAAAGTGAATAACATTAGGAATGTGAAGTTCCATAATTATACTTCCCCCACTACTACAAATAACTGTGTATTATCACATTTAGTGCCCTGGGTAACTGAAAAAAATTAAGAAGAGACTGCTTTGTGACCATTATGGAATATTGGGAGTTCAAAAGTAAAAAATAAATGTTTCTGCTCGGATGATTTCTTAGATACCATAAAGTGTAAGATAAAAAAAATATATTTTAAATTTACTTTTAGTAAGTCTATTTTCAAAAAAATAAATATTCATCTCTGTTTCCAAATATCTCTCTCTCTATAAAAGCCTAATATGCAAAGTGTCCCCTCTGGAGTTCGACCTACCAGGAGTTCACTTGCTTGCTCTGACATGCGCTGACCACCAGGGGGTGGCGTGGAACAAAGGAAGGCCCCGGCTGGCAGCCAGCAGCTGCTAGGGACCCTACCCATACACGAATTTCATGCACTGAGCCTCTAGTTTATAATAAAAGATTTATTCACAAACTATACAAATGAAAGGCTTGCAAAATGATACACCTGATGAAATTAAAATTCACTGAAACACATATTAAGTGTTTATTATAGAGTATTATGCATGAAATTCTCTCAAAAAGCCTACAAAAGAGATGAGAGTGAGATCCTTGTTTTAGTAAAGAGGATGTTGATGAGAGAGAGTGAGCTACAAACCCAAAGGAACCCACCTAGCCAGAGATGGAGTTGAGAGTCAAATCTCAGTTGTCATGATCCACTGTCTATGGTTTCTCAACTACTAGGCCAAGCTACATCTCTTCATAAAAGTATGGGCAGATCCTACCTTCCTAAGGACTAATTTTAAAGCTACCAGTATTAACTAGTTTTGCCACTATCTGTTATTGACCATCCAGGCTGCCCTATAACAATGTTGAGAGCGTGCAAAGCAGGACAAACTTGACAGTGAGATGCAGCAGGCAGAGGGAGGCTCTGCACTTTATTTGTCCTTGGCCTCTCTCAGGTTGCACATCATGTAGACATTTAGAGTCTATGTCTCCTGGCTATGGGGCAGCTATAGGGGTTATGGTTGTTGAAGAACCCTCACAACAGAAACCAGGAGATGAACTGCCAAGCCTGATGCTGGAAGGAAGACAGGGCAGAGACTCATGTATCTATAGCCAATGAGAGCTGAGTGGTGGCAGGTCCAGCAAGAGGGAGATATCTCCTGAGCCCAAAGGGAATATCGCCGGAGCCCGAAGAAGTGACGACTGGTTCAGAACTACAGATTTAACACGGGAGGCAGGCCCAGCTGCAGACAGCAGCCCAGAGCATGTGCCGCCAGCGTGCTTCTGAAAACCAGCCCAAGGCCAGGAGAGTCCCTTTCCTCAGGTCAGAGAGATGTGCGGCCACCTTCCCACATATCCAATTCCATCTTAAGGAGAAAAGCAGGGAAGGCGAGAGGATACACGAGAGACAGAAATGCTATGCAAAGAAGATGAGCACAACCTAGAGCAGTGGTCGGCAAACCACGGCTCGCGAGCCACATGCGGCTCTTTGGCCCCTTGAGTGTGGCTCTTCCACAAAATACCACGTGTGGGCGTGCAAGTACAGTGCGATTGAAACTTCGTGGCCCATGCGCAGAAGTTGGTATTTTGTGGAAGAGCCACACTCAAGAGGCCAAAGAGCCGCATGTGGCTCGCGAGCCGCAGTTTGCCGACCACTGGGAGGAACCATGTAACCTTTAAAGAAGATTAAATTTTTAATCACACAAGAGTAAAAGTACTTTTTTACCTTCCACAAACAGCTAATCTACTGTGGGATAATGATCAGATCAGTTATGGTTAAAGAAAAAAAAAAGTTAATTTTTTTGCTCATTCCACATGCAGTGTAATTTACACCGACACCCCTGTACATTAGATTTACTGAGAATCACATTTTCCAGGTCCGGCACCTACATTATCTCATTTAATTCTCACACAAGCCCTGTAAGGGAGGAATCATTATAATCTCCACTTTATAGAAGAGGAAAATGAGGCTTAGAGAGGTTCAGTAATTCACACATGGTCACATCGCTAGCAACATAGCTGGGAGAGGAAAGCCGATTACTTCACTGTTTTAACTTATAAATAATTAAAATACATTTTAGATGAATTGGATTTTTGATATTTGAAGATGTTCAAGTTGAAGACTTCTGAAATAGAAAGCTGAGTGTGCTTGCAAAGGAGTATTTGCTTTCTAATTTGCATTTGAGACTTTAGTCTTCAGGCAAATTTTAAAGGACACTTAAGCCTGAAAGGAGAAATCCGAATTCTGTCATATTTGATCGTAGTGAGGTTGTAACATGTGTTCACTAGAAAGATACTTTCAGTACAATTAGAAATAGAAGACAATTGACGTTTCCTCTCCACTAAGAAGCCTCCAAGGCAGAAGTTTTTAAGGTTTAGATTTTGAGTTAAGTCTTGGTTTAACTCCTGTTAAACCACATTAAAGCCATGTAAGTTGGTGACCACTTTGAGCTCATTTCCATAAAGTTACCATGGCGACATGTCAAAGCGGGAGGAAATGAGATAACCTTTGTCACACATGGAACATGGTGCCTGCCACATAGCTGGTGCTCAAAACTGTCAAACTGCCTCTGCTTATCCCCCTTGTTGTAGTGAATCCTAATATTATCCAGTTCTCTGTGGCTCACTATAGAGCCAAACAATTATTTTAATCCCCAGATTTTATTTTGTTTCTATATTTAGCAAATGCAAATGTACACTTGCTGATTTGATACCTGGAGCTACAAGGACAAAGAAAAAAAAAACCCCTGGGGTGTATTTATCAAGTTTAGAAAATGCATTCGCTTACCAGCTCACTGAATTCATTATTTCCTAGGTCAAGTCTTTCCAGCTGGGCCAGTTTGTGCATTGACCTGTAACAGAGGGAGAAAAATACCATTGTGAGGCAAAGCATGACACATTACTCCAGAACATCTCACCCACTTCCCTGTTAGATTTCCCTGTTTGTACAGTGCACAGCAACAGGGGTGCTTTCCAGCAAGAATTAAACTGCAAATAACAGTAACCTATGCAAACTGCCACCTGAAAACCTTTAGTAGTTTACCATGTTCCCAAATGCCAGTCTAGTTAGAGTACAGGGTTGGCTGATTTATAAAAACCTGGGAAGCTTGTTAAACATCTACACCAGTAGGAGGTATAGTTTCGAACAACTATATTTTTAAGTCACCACAGGTTTGGGAACCAATGATAGCTCAATTCCTAGCAGAGCATTCTAAAAAGCCACAATATAGACACAATAGCACCATCAATCTTGTCATTTTCTACTTTCCTACATGAACTTCTGCTACAGACAAACGTTATATTCACTGTCTCCTAAACATATTGGCTTGGATGCTCTGAATAATTGCAGAACCTTGGGCAAGAGATGCTGCCAAAGGTTAGAGATACCTTAGCACATGCTATATGCATCAGCGTATCTCAAGCCACTCTCAAGTACAACATGCAACATAAGAAAAGATAGTGTATTTCTGAGTGTATTTACTTCTCCACTGACCAGAATGCTGTCCTTATATATGCTGACTACACAGAAATTCTGGAGACATCATTGACTCAAATCTTAGAAATTTTAGTGCCTTCATCTTTAGAATGGATATAGCAATTATCTTACAGGGCTTTTATGAGCATTAAAGGAAATACTAGTGTAATCCAGACACTGTCAGGTACTCCAAAATGCAAATCTGTGTGTACCCTTTATTCGCCCAGCAACTGTTATTGAAAGATCATGTACCAGACAATCTTCTGAGGTCTGGGTACAGCAGTGAATAAACGAGACAAAAACTCCTGCCCAAAAGGACTTTATATTGCAGTGGTGGGGGGCGGGGAGAGGGATTACAATTAATGTTAAGTAAAATAAAATAATATACTAGAATGTTATAAATGCTATGGAGAAAACTCAAATAGTCAAGGCACACAGGAAGAATTTACATGGAGGATTGCAATTTTTAATAGGGGGGTCAGGTAGGTATTACTCAAAAGGACAAAATTTGAGCCGAGGCTTAAAAGAAATGAAGGAGCATGCCAGTGCATCGACTCTAAAGCAGGGACATATTACTTGCTTGAAGACATCCCAGGAGAGTAGTGTGGCTGAGGCAGAGTGAGGGAGAGGGAGAGGGAGAGTAAGGAGATAACAATGATGAGTTAGATAGAAGCGAGTCTTCACAGCCCAATAGAGACATTGGCTTTGATTCTGAGTAAGATGGAGGGTCATTGAAAGGTTTTGATCAAAGGTAGGACTGAAGTGACTTGTTAAAAGATCATAGCCTATTTCAGAAACAGCAGGTAAGTAACAATAGTAAGAAATAATAAAAAATGAGACAAATAATAAGAAATCAGGAATAAAATGTAGGAAAGGGCTAGATCATAAGGTCATACGTGTCAGGCCAAGGAATTTGAGTTTTAGTTTAAAGGCAATAAAACCTTTAAAATTTAGAGAGCAAAGAGTTACCAGACTTGTATTTTATAAAGCTCACTCCAGTAGCTTGGAATGGTGTGGATAATGGTGAGAGGATGTGCTAGCAAAGAGGCTAAATAAAAAATGGCCCTGAAAACCATGTGGTAATGACGATGACCGATTGGATGTGGGAAGTAAAAAAGAGGAAAAATTAAAGATAATTTCTTGATTGAGTAGCAGTTGTGGGGATATTAGAATAGAGTGGATCTAAGGTGGAGATAGGTTGGATGTAGTGAATGCTATTTAAAATACTATAGTGACTTTGAAGTGAATGTGAGAGACCTTTATTAGGGAAAATGTGTGTGTGTGTGTGTGTGTGTGTGTGTGTGTGTGTGTGTGTGTGAAAAAGGGAGGGCGGGTATGAGGGAGGGAAAGAGAGAGAGAGAGAGAGAGAGAGAGAGAGAGAAAAGAGCTCAGATAAAAGTCTTAACTGGAAATAAATATTTAAAAAATAAGTGGAATATTTCTTGTCTACTCCACCTAAAAATTATATCTCCTTTTTTTTAAATACACATACCATTTGCTTCCTTTTCCAGGGTTTATTTGATATTTACCACTTAATTTCTTGAATTATTAGTTTTTTCATGTGTACATGCCTCCTTTCTCCACCAGATCTTAAAATACGCTTTAAGATGCTCAGAAGGACGGCCAGCCATTCAGCCATCCAGCCATCCAGAGGTTGTGCAACCTTGTGGGCAACATCTAAGAGAACATCTGCCTCGCCTCCTGCCAAATCTATGCCACTGAATAGATGCATCTAGTGGGAAAAGTGGCTGGGCCACATGAAGAGAAAATTAGATTTTCTTCTGAGCCTGGAAACATTAAAAAATGGCAAATTCTTGCAAATCTTGTTTCTAGCAACAAGCAAACAATGAGCATCAAGGCCTTGGGAATCAAGGAGAAGGATCCAGTGGCCAAGCGTGGCAAGTGAGTGAGAAATGAGCACAGGGGTAGCAGAGCCACCTGCATGTGACTTGACCCTGTGGCCTTAGGCAACAAATATTCTAGTGAAAACCACCATGACCTGAAGACCAGAGGCTCTTCCACAATTTTCTGGATTCTATGAACTTGGTGGTTCTCACGGTCTCCTAGGAGGATATTGTATAAACTTGAGAGCAGATTTTTTCCCCTAGTTCTAGTGATTGATGACCAAGACAAAATTAATTTTATTAAATGAATAAATGAGTTACACCTTGTACTTGGGTATCCTAAAGCAAATTGCATTAGTTAAAAGATTTACCTCTTTTCTAGGTTAAATATTTGTGACCTCTTACTCATCCCTTGTGTGATAGGATTTTCAACCCCCTAAACACCTGATCATCTTAATTTAGACTTAGTAAAAATTCTCAGTGTTTTTCTTCCAAAACAAGACCAGGTTCAAATCTGGCACTCATGTTATTGTAAATAAAGAATTATGGAACACATCTAGGCTTATTTGTTAATATATTATCTGGGGCTATCTTGCCTGGCAACAACAGAATTGAGACACCATTTAGATCACAGAACCTCTGATGACCAGGTGGCACTCAGGGTTGAACACTATTCCCTAGTGTGGGTCTCTAAGACAATGTAGAAAAAAGTGATTATTTTTTACATTTCTGTTACTGTTGTTCAAGTGTGATTCCTTTCGTGGGAAGATAGGTAACCTCTATGCCACCACTAAGCCTTTTTCTTTTTAGTTTTAGGCTACTGCCTTTGAAAACTGTGCTTCATAAATTCATACCTAGGGAACTACATTTTAAATGTAAACTCTAGCTTCCTACCATCCCTTTTCCATCCTTTTGAATGGGCAACATTTTTTCTTTTTCTTGTTCTGGTACAACAAGAAAGTTTTCTTTCTCATGAGGTGTTCCGAACTATTTTCTGAAGCTTAAGTTAAGTTACTTAAAATATATTTTCTTCTATTTTAATTTTATCTCATTTTATTTTTTATGCTCTTAGTTTCCATCATTGTTTGTTATCACCAAAGTTTCCTTTCATCATTAAATTCTCACTTCTGTTTTTGAAGTTATCTGTCCAATATGACTTTATATCTTTAAGATTACTACATTTTTACTTTTGTTTTTGAAAATGTCATTCAATATTATTTCTTATGTTGCACACCTTTCAAATGGACTGTTTTTACCCCAAGATTTTATCCAGTCTGTAACATAGCCTATTGCTTTTCTTGATCATGTGCTAGTTGCTAAACTATAATCATTCTGTCAAATTGTCCAAGAAATGTTCCTTTCAGATGAACATATGAAATACGTTTTTAATTCCCTCAGGATACAAATAAGTAAAGCTTTGCCAGATAAATAAAATAGAACTCATGGCATTTTTATGGTAGTAGTGTCCTTTTCTGAGCATTCATTCACTCAGTTCGTGATTTTTATGGCAGGTACCATGTGGATATTGCAGTTACAAAGATTTCTGGGACTCAGTGTTTCCCAACTGCGGAACTATTGACATTTTGACTGATTACTTCTTTAATACAGGGTCCTAGTGTGAGCTTTGTAGAATGTTTACCACATCCCACACAGTCTGCACTCTGAAAGACTTATTTTCCAAATGGGAATGACCTTTAAATGAATAGTTACTTCACAGGGTGATAAGTGCTGGGATAAAAGTATGTATAGATTGCCATAGGAGCTAAAAAAAAAAAGAACACCTAGCAGTTGAGTAATTACGAGAAACTTCAAGAGGAGGTGACATTTCAGCTGGGTTTTATAGAACCTTGCTCTATGAATCACATGTATTTGCACATATGAAAAGAAACAATGAAAATAATAAGAGTACAATATTAACACGTGTCCTCAAAGGAAGTAAAATAAAATATTTTGCTCCATAGTAACTCTAAAAATTCCTAATAGACTTTGTTGCAGGAAACCCTGTTGTCCTACCCTCATGGCTGGATAAGGGGACTTCTGGGGTGTAGTGATTTTGTGCAGCATAGGATGGCTAGCAGCATCTAAGGGCTCTACCTACTGGACAGGAGTAGCACCATCCCTAATTTCACAACCAAATATCTCCAGATATTTTCAAATGTGCCCTGGATTGGGGTGAGGGGGCAAAACCACCTTGAGCTGTGATCCATTTTGCTAGAGAAATACTTCAGGCCTTGATCACCTCACTTTACTGGTTAGGGAGGAGGTGACCTTTCTATCTCCATTTGTTTACCTCCTTGCTAGGTGGATTCCCATGTGGCCTGTCCTTATGCAATTCAAGCCAGCCTGCTGGAGAGATGCACGCATTTGACTTTGCAACCTAGTTCCTTACAGCAAGCACATGTGGATCTGGTCCTATCTTTTTGTCCCCACAGAAATCCAACGGGTGTGATTTCCCCTTATAAATGACTGGCCTTGATGATGTGATAGCCACCATAGGTCAGCGAGCAAATATTAGGACTTGGTCACAAATTTG